GGTTTAGAGTTTAGGTTTTAGGAATTGATGTTGGGTTTCGCTTGCTCAAGCTGAATAAGGGTGCCCTCATTTTCAAGTGGTTACTCGGGAACCAAACGGGTTTATGACAAGCCGCACAGAACTGTGACTCAATACTTTGGGTTCTCTGCAGGTGCCGGGAAGATTCCTTGGTGCCCTGCCAGTCTCATAAAGGGAACTCCAGAAAGTTGGAATATGGATTAATGGTAGGATCCCCTATAATTTACCTTAAAGGGGCTACGACAATGATATTCCAACTTTCCGGCTTCTACTGTAATCCCCCCACCCAAACTAGGACCCAGAGTAAGCCCTTATTCCCTTTTTTAGGGTTCAGGTTCTCTTATAAGCCCCTTTAAACCAAAAAGGGCACCCTTTTCATTCCTAGGTTACTCTTAGGCCTAGCAAAGGTTTACCTCCTTGGGCCCCTACACTTGGGCCTCTATACTATTGCACGGTTCTCAGTTGACGTTGTAACTTGTTCCTTCGTTGTGTTTGTAGGGACTGCCAGAAAGTCGGTAAGTCTTCATGTTATAGAGTTATAGGCAGAGGTATCTTAAAGCCACTTCAGATCTCTTTCAGTGTACATGTGGCTCTACTTACTGCCTGCTTTCTAAGTCCCTAAGGTCGCCGGACCCTCCAAGTTCTTGGCCCTCCATCTGCAACCCCGAAGCCCAGACCTCCAGGCTTCACACCCAGAGACTCCAGAACCCCTTAATTAAGGAATAGACCTTAAATTATAATAGGGAATCTTTTAATTTGATTTAAGGTATACTCCTTAATTAAGGGGTTTGGGAGTCTCTGGGCCCCCGCAATCTCAAGCCGTAAACCTTGGGTACTGCCCCCCCTTGTAACAGGATTGGGCGCCATATTGAGGGCTATATCTATATCGAGCGGATGTGATTTCTTTCCATTTCAAAAAGCTCCGAAACCGTAAACGAACCCTGCACCTCGCACCTAAACCTTAAAGCCATGACCCTCCACAAAGCCTAGACTCTGTGCCGCAAAACCAAGACTCCGTTAAACCCATGCAAACCCCTGAAAACCTAAACCAAAAAACCTCAAACCCCCAAACCCCTAAACCCCCAAACCCCTAAACCCCTAAACCCCAAACACCCAAACCCCTAAACCCCAAACCCCTAAACCCCTAAACCCTTACACCCCAAACCAACCCCTAAACCCTAAACCCCCCAAACCCCTAAACCCTAAACCCCCAAAACCCCTAAACCCCAAACCCCTAAACCCCTAAAGCTTCAACCACCAAGGGCTGCATCTTCGCGCCAGTCCCAACACGGGCCGGCCACGGACAGCGTCGACACCTGAGCCCGGTTGTGATGATAATCCTGGCTGTTCAGTGGTGCACTTTTTTAGTTTGAGGTTTCGGGGTTCCTACTATATAATAAGAAGCCTAAACAAGTGTATACTTTTTCCCAGTGGGTTATTGACAGCCTAGTAAAGGGTAATGTAAGGGTCTGAATACTTACAATAGGGTTTTGTGGCTTCCTTGTTATAGTAAGTGAGTTTGTAAACTTCAAACTTTGGGATAATGAAACCCTCTTGAAACTGATTGTTTAAACTTTTTGGGCTTATGAACTCGGCAACTAAGTTATAGTTACTGTATCATATATCCCCAAGCCCTATTCTAATTGTGAATGCCCCTCATTATTGTGCTTATTACGGTGCGGCTTCAGGTTCCCTGCGCCCGAATTGACCCTGGGGCTTGGGATTTGCATAGTTTTGGGTTTGGGGTGCAGGTCTTAGACGAGGGTTTGGGGTTTATGTTGGGTCGGTGATGGCCTCTAATGGGGCCTTAATGATTGCTTATATTACTTTGCGGGTTCCTTATTGTACTTTCCGTATAGTGGGCCCCAAAACCCTATTCTCTTCTACTAAGGCCCCTATACTAGAACCCTACTATCGATCCCCGATAGACCCTTTTTGAAGGACCCCTTAAAGGTACTCTACTCTACTCTATTGAGGTCCCTGATTTTAAATCTAAAGCTCACGCTGCCAAGGTGATTGCAGTCCAAGGGAGCGTCGCAGCCAAAGGCGAGAGACGGCGTGCCGGAACGGTTTAGGGTTTAGGGTTCCTTGGTTCGGGCTTCCTAGTTGGGAGTTTCCGAAAAACTAGGGGAACCTTGTTATAAGGATCCTACTACTTAGGGCACTAGTTTTGGGTCCCCTATTCTCGGACACTCCTAGTTGGACTTGTTTTGGGGGATTTTAGGGTTCGGGTGCATCGCAGATAATTGAAACATGGATTAGGACGATCACTGCCGGGATTACTTAGCCTTTCCCGCACCACTAAAGCCCTAAACCCGAACCCCCAAAACCCTAAGAGCTTGAAAGACTAAACGCCTAAACCCTGAAATCGAAAAACCCTAAGACCCTAAACCCAAGACCACAAACCCTAAACCTCATGCCCTAAAAGCCTAAACTCCAAACCCCTAAAAACCCTAAACCCTCGTGGTCGAGCAGGCTTCGCTGCCCACGCAGCTGCTGCCTCGGAGAATGGGAACTCCAAGCGCGTGGGTTCGGAACTTGAAGGTTTAGGGTTCAAGGGGGGTCAAGGTAGTACTATAGAGGCCCGAATAACTGCCCATACCATGTTTTTTTGTGTGTGTGTGTTTTTTTTTTGGAGGGGGGGGGGGTCCTGATGAGAATCATAGTAATAGCATATGCCTCCAAACCATATTCTAATGATTAAGGCCCCTATATTGAGTACCAGGACAAAGGCTTCGGACTACCATCATAGGGACCCTTAGGGGGGTAGGGGGAGGGGGGGTAGGGGGCCTGAAGGCCCATACTACGGACCTAATAAGGCCGATTTAAGGAAGTGTAGTCCCCTACCCCCCCCCCCTTACCCCTCTAAGTGTCCCCGTGATACTATGATCTAGGATCTCCAGTAGTACCCTTATTCCCTTCTTGTAGTCCTAGGTTCCTTATAAAGTTACCTATTACCAAAAAGAGAGGCCTTTTTATTCTTAGGTTACTGGGTATCCTAGTTATGTATTCTTCTTCTTGCGATTAGTATGGTGCAGGTGACGAACTCTCTGTGGATCTGCGCCTCTTTGGGGATCGTGGCAGGTTTAAAGTTATTCTGGGATTTGGTTTGCCAGTTGGGAGGTTTTGAAATTTTTTTTGGGGGGGGTACCTTTATAAGGGGATTCTTTAAGGGTTCCTTAAAGGGATCTATAAGGGTTCTATAAAGGGTTTAGGATTTAGAGGTGCCGAAAATTTGGGGGGTACCTTATTTTGGTGTCCTGAAAATAGGGATCCTACTATTCAGGGTACTATATTAGGGTCCTCTATTTTCGGAAATTCCCAGTTCGAAGCATCTAGGGGCATGGGTTGGGGCATGACCTAAGAAACCCCTCTGGAACTCCAGTGGTTCAGGGCCCATGTTAGGAGGCTGATTAGGGTACTTATAACCTAGGACCCAGAGTAGGCCCTTATTCCCTTTTTTGGGGTTCAGGTTCTCTTATAAGCTCCTTTAAACCAAAAAGGGCACCCTTTTCATTCCTAGGTTACTCTTAGGCCTAGTATCTCTTAATCCTACTGCTGCGGGCCCTGATACTTAGGTAGAGATCCCTGCCAGCCGAAAATCCCAAAGCTGCGTCCTAAGCCCGAAACTGGAAGCGCAAGCCGAAGGTCCGCCAACTGACCCCGACAGTAGAATCCAGAAAGCTGGATCCTGGCAGTGTTCCTCCTATTGCCATGTTCCAACTTTCTGGCTTCTAATACAGGGTAAAGTAACAGTATAGGCCATCTCACCCGTCAGCTTCAACATAGTAACGCAATGAATAGATACACCACCCAGAACAAGAATGGAGAATGTCCTTGTAGTTCATGTAGCCACGGCATAGAATGTTCCCAGCTTGAAACCTAGTAAAACCGTCTCCGGCCGCACGTCGAGACCCCAAGAACCTCCAAACACCCCCTAAAACTCCCTAAACCCTAAACCCTAAACCCTAAACCCTAGACCCTAAAACTTCAAAAAGCCTGAACCCTAAACCCTAAACCCTCAAACTTCAAAAAGCCTGAATCCTTACCGTCTCCAAGAACTTCATACGAACCTGAGGTCCTTAAATCCTCAACCCTGGACCCTAAAACCTACACCCTGAACCCTAAACCCTGAACCCTCAATTCTGAAGTTTAGGGTTTAGGGTTTAGGGTTTAGGGTTCAGGGTTTAGGGTTCAGGGTTTAGGGTTTAGGGCCTGAACCTTGAAACCTAAGCCCTGAACCCTAAACCTCTCGCCCCAGGTTTCCCTTCCGAAAACCCAGCGCGAGCTTTGCATGCCGGGATTCCTGGACCTGGGTTCAGGATTTTTGCGGATTAGGGGATTAGGGCGTTTGGGGTTTTAGGGATTCGGGGGTTAGGGTTTAGGGTTTGAGGGCTCAGGATTTGGGCTTCAGGTCTAGGGCTTGGGGTTTAGGATTTGGGTTTAGAGTTTAAGGGTTTCGGGGATTAGGGCTTTGGGGCTTAAGGGCTTAGGGAGTTGGGATTTGGGCTTTGCTAAATTCAAGGGTCTAGGGATCAGGGGTATATGGTTGGAAGATCTGGGGATTTAGAGGTTGGGGCTAAAGGGTTTTGGGATTAGGGGATTACGGGTTTAGGGTTCAGGGCTTGTGGTTTAGCGTTGTAGCCTTCTGGCGAATTCCTGGCCAATTTAAACATGTTTCTTTGATAAGTGGTAGAGCGGACCAACACCCGGAAACCCCCACACCCCTGAACCCCAAACCCCTAAACCCCCAAACCCCTAAACCCCGAGCCCCTAAACCCCAAACCCCTAAACCCTAAACCCCTAAACCCTAAACCCCCAAAACCCCTAAACCCCTAAACCCCCAAACCCCCAAACCCCTAAACCCCTAAACCCCTAAACCCTAAACGCCCAAACCCCTCAACCCCTGAACCGAAAGATCTCTCCTGAGTCCTGGCTCTGCTGCGGAGCTTGGCCGCCCGCGGCGCGAGACGCTGCCGCAAATGGCACCAGGTGCGGCTTCGAGGGTCTGAGTGACTGGCTAAGTCGGTCATAAGTAGGGATCTAAGGACTCAGATTTTCACGGCGGCTTTGGGGCCTGAAGACCATACTTTTTGAAGCTTTTGGGTTATTTTGATCCCTAAAATCATAAGTAGTAGAGTTACAGTATAGGTACTCTGATCATATAGGAAACCTAACTTGCGTTGTGGCTTCGAGGGTCTGCGTGACTTACTAAATGGGTAAGACGCATAGTTGTAGTTCCCGAAAAGGGATCCTCATGGGGGTAATGATACTCATCCTAGCTTCGAGGGTCCACGGTTTGAAGGATCTTTTGAAGACTCGATAGTGTAAAAGTTCGGTCAGGTTTCCTTCAAGGTTTACGGATTCCTTCAAACGTTCCCTTCGAGAGGTTCCTTCCTTTAGGGCCTGCCTTGAGTGGGTTGCTTCAAGGGGGTTCCATGAAGGTTCTCCAAGTTGTTCTTCAGAGTTTCGGGTGCCGGGCTCAGGAATTGGTGCTTAAGATATTGGGAGCAGGGTTCTGGGGTGGGGTGCTTTCTTGCCTGTGCAGTCTGAGTCTGAGGTCGAGTCTATCAGCGGTTTGTAGCCGGGCCCGGATACCACAAAGAACGGGTCCGAAGTACATGGGTGGTTGTCAAAATGATGGCCCCCTTTTGGAAACCATAAATAATAGGTGCCGTATTGTATTAGGGTCCCAAAAAGGGACCCTAATGTTGACAACCACCCACATACAAAGTAGGCTTGCAAGAGTGGGCTGGGAAACGGCACTCTGGTTTGGGAAGTATCTTCGACTCAGGTATTGGGACCCTTTATGGGGCCTTTGTCCGAACTACCTTCAAAGTAAAGTAGCGTTGCTATAAGAGAAATAGTACTCTCCCAAAGGGTCCTATGTACTGTGATGGGGGATACTTCCCTGGATCATGATAGTAATTCCCAATATAGAAACCCTACATTCTACTATATAGGGCTACATAGGACCCATTGGGTCTGGTTTGGGAAGTATCTTCCACTCCGCTAAGGTACGTAGGACGCTGAAAAACTACCTTGGGTCAGCAGGGAATGGAGGAATGGGGTACAGTGATAGCTACTGGTACTACCATTCTTCCATTCCCTACTAACCAAAGGTAAGAAAACGGTGTACATTGCCTTTCCCAGTCGGCACTCATATGCGCTGCCCATTTCGGAACTAAGGCAGATCCAGGGACACTGTTTTCAGGGCTTAAAGCCGTCGCCTAGGTCCATGCCATAACAAGCATAACGTACTCAGCTTTGCAGAATGGCACGAACACAACTCAACCCAAGCCTCCGAAGTCCTTGAGCCATAATGGTGGTTGTCAAAATTGGGGTCTTTTTTTGGGTCCTTATTGTAATACGGCACCCATTATTTAGGGCACCCAACAAGGCACCATAGTTTTGACAACCACCCGTAAGACTGTCGTCTCCAAAACCCTGAAAACCCTCACTCTTCAGCTACCTGGTCCGGCGGCCTGCCTGGTGGCGAGGTCGTCGCCCTAAAACGGTTCAGGGTTTAGGGTTCAGGAGGGTTTAGGGTTCAGGGTTTAGGGTTTAGGCGGAAAGGCAGTTCCAAAGTCTTGGCTTCGCGAACTACTCTGATAGTATTCCCGCACAGTTCCTATGGCTGTATAATGTACTGTTGTGATTGTACGAAATATCCCCCAAACCCTACTGCGATTATTTTAGGCCCCTCGGCTACGTAGGGCTTCCAGCGGTCGAAGGACTACAGTTTGCTTTTTTAGGGCTTACCTGAACCCCCCAAACAACCGACCTTCTTAAGGTCTTGCATCAGGAAACTCTAAAGGAGCCCCCAAAGAAACTGGGTTTCTTGGGGTCCGAGCTGCACTGCCCTGAGGCTGACCCAACGCCCCAAAGTAGTTCCTTTTGGGATTGCCTTCTAGGATTCTAAATAATATGAACCCCAAACAGGACCTACTTTGGGGCCTCTGGGTAGTGGCTTTCAGCTGCAGGATCTCTTCAGGTTCACGGCTTTTTAAAAACTTTGGCCATATGACCCCAAAGTCGTAGAATCCATATACAGAACTCAACAAAGACCCAGCGTTTCTTAATTGATCAGGTTCCTACATGTCTGAAGCAACTGGAACCCAGCAGACAGTCAAAGAAGTAGTATCTTGTCTAGGTTGCTTGTGTTTGACATGGAGACTCCATCTCCTGCTGCTTTCATGCAGGCTGAGGTGTTACTACATGATGAGCACTGCCAATATATTGCGTTAGCTTGGTACTGTTGTTTGAGTGTCTCTCTTGATGCAAATGCTCTTGCTCGGCATGCTTCGATGTGGCAATTGTGAAGCTGCTTTCTCCCAGGATTGTCAGAACAGGGGGCCTGAGCCTAATGGCTGAAGCCCATAGAACAGCCAGTGTACTTACAGTTCAGAGGACTTGTTGTAAGCCTTTTGTTAGGACATCTCCGACTGGGTACTGTAACTCAATGAAACAACTTACATAATTACTATGTCGCACTCTAACTAGAGCTTGAGGCGTTTGAAGCCCAAGTACTATGGAGGAAGCAGATTGTCAAGCAGGCTTTCGCGGACTGCCGATTCTTCTTTTCATTCAGACCTTTATCTTTCTCTTTATCATACATTCAAAGGCTTGAAAGCAAATCCAGACCTAAATCAAGCTACAGATCGCAACATCCTGAGCCCCAAGCCCAAAACCCCCAAGAAACCTAAACCCTGAAGCCCTTACAGGAGCCCCTACTGACGCTTAGAGGAACCCTACATAGAACCCTCAAGGCGCAGAGCATGCAGCAAGAGCTCCGCTTGCGCCAGTCCTGGGGTCCGCCGGCGGAAATTTGAGGGATCGTGCTTGGGGACTGGCTTGGGGTTTTAAGGTTCAGGGTTTAGAGTTTTAGGGTTTAGTGTATTTGGGTTGAAAGGTTCAGGGTGTAGAGCTTAGGGTTTAGAGTATTCGGGCTTTAAGGTTTATATGGGCTGTCTATGTCTCACCGTCGTAGGTGCCTGTGATTGTCATTCATGTCTGCTCCCGAACCAGGACAACGATCGGCTTTGGAAGTCGGTTTCGGGGTGAGGATCAGGTTCGGGTTTAGGGTTTTGGGATCAGGTTTGGGGTCTAGGGTCTTGGGGTCCGCGATTGGAAGTTTGCTGTTCCGGACATGGGCTCGAGGGCAATGGTGTAGAAGCGTAAACTACTGCAAACCAACACTCCATTATTGGGTTCCATGTTGTAAGTAGAGTGTACTATATTAGGTACGGCCCCCACTCAGTAATAGTTGAATAGTTTATATAGATATAGTAGGACCTTAATAGTAGCCCTATTATAGACTCTTACTGTAGGGGGGCCGTACCTAAGTACTATACTTGGACCTGCCCTGCCCGTTTTGTTTCTGGGTCCGTGGGGATCCTAGTTGGAGGGTCGGGGGACTTAGTAACCATAAGGGGTTCCTTAAGGGTTCCTTTAAAGGGATCTATAGGGATTCTGTTAGGGTTTAGGGTTTAGGGGACTTAGTAACTGGTTATTTTAGGGACTTATAAGTACCATAACCCCAACTAGGGTCCCTTTTAGGTATATGTCTACTTACTACCTACTTATTAAGTCCCCCGACCCTCCAAGTAGTTGGGGATTCGGGAGTCTCCGAAAATGAGGGGTACCATGTTTTGGGGGTCCTTTCGATATACAGATCCTGATATTTAGGGTAGTATACTAGGGTCCACTATGTTCGGAAACTCCGAATTAGTGTGATCTAAAGTGTCAGGCTTCTTGGGCTAGGAGTTTTGATGTGCAGCTCAGTTCAGGGGTTCCCTTTTTTCTAATGTAGGAACCTGATTAAGAAACCATGGGCTCTTATTGGGGCTCCTTATATGGATCCTACTATATTGGGGTCATAGGCCCAGGGTTTCTTCATCAGGTTCCGACATTAGTGTCAGTCAGTTTAGGGTTCAGGGTGCGCCATCCCACAAGCATCGACATCTCTAAACCCAAAACTAGCCCTCATTGAAGCCCATGCCCTATGCTTGCGATTGCACCCGCCAGAACCTTCAAAGTTTTAAAAGGTAGAGCCCTAAACATTAAACTTGTTGCAATCGTATACGGACATAGGAAGGGATTTAACTTGCTTCTATTGACATATTGGTGGTTGTCAAAATTCGGGTCCCTTTTTTGGTTCCTTATTATAATACGCCTAGTATTTAGGGTACCCCAAAAAAAGAGACCCCATTTTTGACAACCACCCATATGTTAAATACACATGGATAGACATGCATTGGGAAGCCTTGCAAGGCCCGGGATCTGTTTTGGAAGTCTTCTCGTCGTCGCTGGGAGGCGGAAATGTCTATGGAGTTTGTGACTTTCGAAGGGTTTAGAGTAGAAGCCCAAAAGTTGGAAGCCCAGCAGCCTCAATCCTTAAAAGTACGTAATGTATACGGAATCCCAGCACTATTTGGCCTTAAACAGGTTTCCAACTTTACGGGTTTTACCATATTGGTTTAGGTTCAGAGTTCAGGGTTTAAGGCTGTCGGGTTCAGGCTGATTTCAGGGGACGCAGCGTGAATGGACCATCGCCACAAGCAGTATATCACCGAGCGGTCTCCTGCCCCGTTGAGAACAGTTGCATTGCTGATGAGCGATGCTCCCAGGCCCCAAAACTCTAAATACCATAGATACACTGTAAAAAGTCCATGGTTCTAAGGGTTTAGGGTTGTTGGGTGGTAAAGGGTCGGGATTCATGTTCGTACGTATCTTGGGCATGGTCAGGTCTTGGGGTCAATGCATAAACTGGCAACCACACCTCGGAGCCCCACCATGCTCCCGCCCCTTTCTGAAAGCCAGATAAAGCCTTTGGTTCCTAGTTCATTGTTGGGATAGGATTAAACATGTACATGTTTATTCCTTGTTGGGTTTAGATATACCCATAAAAATGTAAAATGTTAACCAACTATGACCAAGGTTCCTCAGTAGTACCCTTTTGCCTTTTCTCTTTTTGGGCTCCCTTGCTAAAACCGCACAGTGGGAGAAAGGGCACCCCTATTGTCAGGGGCCTGCTGAGAATCTAGCAGCCGGAACACGTAGACTCGAGCTCCATAAATTATGAAAACCCAGATATTCCAAGAAGTTTCCTTTTTGAAGGCTCCCAGTAGTTCTACGAGCTTCTGGGAAGTGTAGCGGTACGAACCCAAAAAACCTTAAACCTGAACTCTAACACTTACAGTGATAGTAATGTGTTGCCTCCTTCAACACCACGTTGTGTTTTTCAGGCTGGTCCGTCGGCGTCGTCACGAAGGTGTCATGGGCATGGCTTTAGGGCTTTATTAGTATGTCCGGCTTGGAACTTAGGGTACTGAGTAAGGGTGCTAAGACATCCGATTTGCGGGTGAAGGTGTTGGGGGATGTAGGAAAGCTGATGAGATAAGGTTGTGCCGAAAGTCTACCCTCAAGCTAGCTGAAACCAATGAAACCGGTTTTCCTTCCGAAGCTCTAGTGCTAAAAGGTTGTTTCTGGCAGTTGAAAGGTTCCTGTGATGTTGTTGAGGGACTTCGGTATAGGCTTTCGGGTTTTGGAGTCCAGCGCTCAGGTTCGATTCTATACGGTGCAGAAGTTTGGGGTTTAGGGGGGGACCTTGAGGCCTTCAGGGCTCAATACGGGCATGCCTGTAGGACTGGCATACGCACCAGGTATATGGAATCACTGGGAGAAAGAGTCCGATACTCATCACCTTCTTCGTCTTACTCACGCGCATACTTGAGACCCAGAGAGCCCACTACCCCTTAATTAAGGTATATAGTTTAAGCCATAATATGAAGCCCTATATAATTTAAGCCATATTCCTTAATTAAGGGATATTGGGCTCTCTGGGGAGCCAGAGCCACGAAGCCAGAATCACAACCGCCGTCTCCTGATAGTACGGGGGAAATCCACCCCCGAGAAGTATAAGGAAGAACCTTAAGACATACTACGGTTGATGATATAAATCCTGATAGTAAGGAATGTACCATTATTCCCATAGTTTAGGGTCCTTAAGGTAATGCAGGATTTATATCCTCAGCAGTATTTCCAAATAGTTCATCAGGCCCCCTATGCTGGCTCTCCCCTACAATTGGAGGTGACGAAAGATGATAAAGTGGTGGTCCAGTTCAGCAACGCAGTCGGCGCCTCGAGATGGGGCAGGATTCGCAGAATGGGTTTTGGTGACTGCAGATAGGGTTTCTTGGAAATGTAAGTGTGTGAAGTTTCGAGGTGTGATAATATGGTGGTGGGGGGATGGTGAGAGGCCGGGGGATTACATTTGGTAAGCAATTATATAGACATGCTACGCCATATTCCACCGCATGGAATGCCACTTCGGAAGCCCTGACCGCTGTCTGGTACGTTGAAAGGAGCAAGGGCTGAGGAAGTAGATTTATCAGTAAGGTAAGTGGCGTAAGTGTAGTCATAAGTACATGTGATGCCAATTAAGGGAGCGGCAGGCTTACTTCCTAAGCCCCCGAAACCCCCCAAGCATAGAGAGGTTGAGAGGTTTGTTGACCTCAGGCCCTGCACCCCAAAGCCCTACGCCCTAACTTACACCCTAAACCCTAATCAGCCTTCAATCCTGAACCCTACACCCTAAACCGTGAACCCTAAGCACTTAACTCTTATCCCTTTTCGCACTCCGATGGTATGTATATACATATAAGTTTACTATATACTAAACAAAGCTGTATATATATATATATAGATATATGCGGGTAGATAGAGATTGTATACATCCCCAAACCCTGAACCCTGAAACTGTTGTATATCTTATTTCTTTCACTTTGCGCCAGGCTCAGGAGCCCTTGATGAAGGTGCTCCCGCGCAGCGATGTGCAGCTTGCCACGCTGGGCTGCCGGGAGCCTCAATGCCGCACCGCTGCCTCAGGTTTTTTAGCGTTTAGGGGTTTTAGGGTTTTAGGGGTTTAGGGTTTAGGGTTTAGGGGTTTAGGGTTTTAGGGTTTTAGGGTTTAGGGTTTAGGGGTTTAGGGTTTTAGGGTTCAGGGTTTAGGGATCAGGGGACCTCGGTAGGAGTTCAAGGGTTTCATAGTGTTTGATAGGGGCTCATAGGGCTTTATCGGATGTTATGATTGCTGATTTACGGTCCTTAATAAGAAGAAGAATACTTATGATGATGATAACACTACCAGTGATAACAATATTGGTATTAGCAATAATAAATCAAACACAAAAACAATCTCAGTAAGGATCCTACTGTTTAGGGTCCTCCCCTTTGAGCTACTTCGACGCTCCGGGGACTTAGACGTTTGCCGCTTCGACCGACTGGGGTCCAAACGATTGCCGGCAGTTGGGTACTTGGAGGGTCGGGGGACTTAGTAAGTAGGGGGCTCCTTTAAAGGGGAGTCTAAGGGTTCCTTTAAAGGGATCTATAAGGGTAGTATAGGGTTTAGGGTCGGGGGACTTAGTAAGTCGGTAATAAGTAGACTTATAGGTACCCTAAAAGGGATCCTAATTGAGGTTATGGTACTTATTGGTCTCTAAAATATCTAGTTACTAAAACCCCCGACCCTAAAAATACCAAGCATCAGGACCAAGGATAACCAGGCTTATTCCAACCTCAACCCCCCCACCTCTAGATCCTCAGGTGATAATGTAGGAAGCTGATTAAGAAACCCTGGTCCCACAAGCCCCAAAATGGTAGGATCGATATAAAGAGCCCGAATAAAGAGCCAGGATCCTTGCTTCCACATGTCCTTCACTTCATCCATGCAGCCCTGGCCTTGCTACAGGCTCAGGAAGTACAGGTGAGAACTTGTAGAAGTGATGGGTATGGGTAGTTGACCAAAGGGTACCCTAGTTATTAGGGTCCCTTTTTGGGTACCCTTACATTCGGTGCCGTTTTATCCGAAAAGGGACCATAATTTTGACCACCACCCATATGTTATTCTCAGCTGGTGTAGGCATACTGCCACGTGTAATCTACTTAGCCCACGCCCCTGCGTAGCTTTAGCCCCAAACCTATGCTGTAAGGTATAACCCATCGGTGAGTTTCTTGATTCCTTGGTAGCTGAGTGGATACACTTTACACTGTTTGGGATAATGTTACCCACTATAAAGCGAAAAGCGTACACTTTTGGGGGCTTATGAACTCAGCAACTAAGATTCGAAGGTAAACCCAGAGGCCCCAAAATAGTTCCTTTTTGGGATTACCTTGTAGGATTCTATATTCTATATATGAACCCCAAAAAGGAGCTACTTTGGGGCCTCTAAACCCTAAACCCCTAAACCCCTAAACTCCTAAACCCTAAACCCTAAACCCCTAAACCCTAAACCCTAAACCACTAAACCCCTAAACCCCTAAACCCGAAACGCACAGCCACAAAGGCAACACGCAGTCGTTGCCGCCGCACTTCCGCGTCGTGCCTTCCCAGTCTCGCCCTGGACAGGCGGTCCCTGCTTGGAGGGTCGGGGGACTTAGTAGGTAGTAAGTAGACTTATAAGTACCCTAAAAGGGACCCTAATGGGGTTATGGTACTTATAAGTCCCTCAAAGAACCAGTTACTCAGTCCCCCGACCCTCCAAGTGCACCCCGAGCCCTAATGCCCCTTAAAAGAGTCACTGTAAGGGCTACTACCCAGACCCCCAGGAAAATCTAGAAAGTAGATCCCTTAATTTGGGGCCCTATACTACTATGGGTCCTTTTTTCGGAACCCCCATTAAGGGATCTACTTTTTGGATCCTCCCGGTGGTCAGGGTAGGGGCCTTAATAATTAGAAGAGGGTTTGGGTGTAGTGATCCCTAAGCCGTAAACTCTCATGGTTCAGGTATACTTAGTGTTCAACATTAGACCCTTTGCTCTTGGAAATTGGGTAAAAACGAGCCCTCAGAACCTACACTCAATATCCTGTCCATGGCACCTTTGCGTTTCAAGGCTTTGCAAATTGCAACAGTGCCATGGTTTGGGGATGGAACAGCGTAGCAACATTTAATGGGTCCCAGAATCCTGCTCGAAGTATTGCGGCCCCGATGTCCATGTCTCAACAGCCTGTACTTACGGTGTATAAAGCCCTAAAGCAACCCTCACAAGACTATGAAAAATCAAAGACCGTTTGGCGAGATTCAGGTCTGGCGTTGACCCGAGAGGGAAGGGTGATTCCCAATTTCTCTTAGTTGGGTATGTACGTATGTAGGCAGGTAGGGAGGGAGGGAGGTAGGTACGAGGCAGGCAGGGAGGTAGGTAGGCATGCAGGCAGGGAGGGCAGGTAGCTAGCTCACTAGCTAGCAGCTAGCTAGCTGGCTAGGTAGCTAGGTGCTAGGTGTGCGTGTGTGTAGGTAGGTATGTAAGTCTGTATCAGTGTATGCATGCATGTCAGTATGTAAGTACTTACGTATGTATGTATGGTTGCAGCTCTTACGCTGGGGTGTGTTGGGTAGGCTTCGAAAGTACTAACTGCACCCAACCCGAACACTATTACCAAAGCCCTACACCCTGAGATCCACGGTTTGGAGTTCAGAGGCACCTTGCAGCCTGAAAGTAGCTCTAAACCTTGTTGGCTGTAACCTACACTTTTCAACTTTTGGGGTTCTTATAAGGTAGTCGATTCTGAAAGTTTCAACTTTTATTCCCTTGGGTTTTGGGCCAGTGAGAAAGAAATAGGGAACTCCAGAAAGTTGGAATATGGTTTCACGGTAGGATACCCTATAACTTACCATAAAGGGGTTAGGATAATCATATTCCAACTCTCTGGCTTTTACTTTAAGGCCCCTGAAAGTTTCATTCTCAGCTTCGGCCTGCGGAAGGTCTCCTACCTCGACAGCGCTCATCAGTGCCGCTACTCCACACCCGAAGCCGCCTGGCCCCTTTGCCCAGCACCAGACACAGAGAGTTTAAGGCTTACTATCGCCTCCTTGGGAAATATTTTTCGTTTTTGTTCATATAAAACCGAAGAGAATATATATATGTATATATATGTATATATATTATGGTTCTAAGGGGGGGTATAGCTTAGGGTTTTAGCGGGCTCGGGTTTAGCACCAAGTTGTTCTAAGGTGTTCTGCTGCAGCCAGCCAGCCTTTGAAATTCGTATGATGGTGACCTCAAACCCCTTGCCCCTCTAAACACCTGCATGATCTAGGTGTTTCTGCATACAACCAGCCTCAATACCCCGAAAGTCTGGACACCACTGATTTTGTGTTTCTGAGACACTACATATCTGTATCCAAAAGCCGGACTGCTTTAAACACCATCGGTGCAAATGCAAGACTGCGTTCTGGGATTTGTTTGTGAGTTCTGTGACACGTTTGTATTTGGTGCATTGTGTTCTCGCTTGGAGTGCTGCTGTTTGGCTTGTGTGAACTGCTGTTGTGTGTTGGTGTTGTGACGCCAGCTTGGAGTATCTTCGGTTTTAGGCTTTGGGGTTTAGGGCTTTGGATTTAAAGGTTCCTGGGTCGAGGGAAATCGGTTGATGGGTAGGCGGTTAGGAGCCAGCTCGCAATGGAAATCCTCAGCCCTAAACCCTAAACCCTAAACCGAGCCTCAAACGCGGCCGGCAACTCTGTCATGCAAAAGCCCCGTCTCCCAGTAGTACCCGTTATGACTTTCTGCTCTTTTGACTTTGAATCAGTGGGGAAAAGGAGGGACCCTTAATGGGGACCCCTACCCTATAATGGACCATATAATGGGTATATAATGGCTATATTAAGATTCTATACCTAGAGGTCCTTCTTAAGGGTCCCTCCATTTACCCTTGGATTGAATCAGTGGGGATCTATAGAGCCTGCAAAGTCCTTGCACTCTAAGGCGACAGCACTTCCAAGACTTGCTGGCCAAGTGGCAGGCCTCAGGCGCCTGGGATTTGTGGTTTAGGTGGGGCTTACGGGTAAGGGATTGTGCCGCACTGACTAGAGCTTTGTTGACAACCATGTGGCAGCGCAGTTCGGTCTTTTGTCCAAGGCATTTAGGGAAGTCCTGTCAAGCTGCAAAGCCCTAAACTCTGTAGAGTTGTCAAGACGAGAGCTTGAATACCCTCCCTGTGAGGTGAGAAGCTTTGGAACGGTTGATGAGCACATTTCGATTCGAACCGCGGGTGGGCACTCTCGACTCGAGCATCTGCGCAGAAAACGGAGTGCCTTTGTTCGAGTGCTGATCCTGCAAAAAACCCAAAGCCCCCAAAGACCTGAATATAATAAGACCGAAACCGGAGACATCAACGCCTGATTCTGAAGCCTCTCCGGTTCGGGATTCATGCTTTCGAGCTCTAGGGCTTTGCCCATTTGCGCCATTTTGTGCCCGTCAGCCGCAAACTCGAAGTCGGGGCATGGAGCCTCAAGAATTGCGACTGCAGGAAATCCTTGTCTTGCATGAGAATTGGACCCGGTTATGTGTATCCGACGTCCTGAACTGGATGAGCCGTTGGTAGGTGTTTCGGCTCAGTTTTATGACTTGTTGTCGTTGCGGGTAGGACTTCCCAGTTTCGGTAACATGCGCGGACCTCAGCTTTTGTTGCTTTTGCTTTGCCAGTCCTGGAGATCACCCAGCACGTTGTAAATTCAGACCTTCGAGTCAGTATGCATGTGTCCCTCCTGCGTCGGCTCAGGGACTCTTCTTGCTCTTTCCTGTCGGCTGTCGGATTATTCCTACCATCGAACATGGCCGCACCAGGAGATGCTTCGCAGCCTCCAGCTCATGTGTATCCCGACACGCCTTCCGACTCGGAGTGGCAGCCGATTCATGCGAGCAGCTGTGCAAGCCAGGAGGCGCCAGGACCCACGGCCGCTTTTGCCCAGCCCTGCCCTTCGCAGTCCTTTCAGCTCGTGCACCAGTGGCCACAATGGCCCGCGGTGGCGGGAGTTGGGGCTTTGCAAGTGGGAGAGGTATCCTCATCACAGGCGGCTTCCAGTGAAGGCGCGAGGTCTGCCCTGCGCACCGCATCTGGGCAACGGAAGGGCAAGGCGGAGAGAAGGCGGGCAATGCAAAGTTCGCAGTCGCAAACGTGTCACGCGATGAAGGCCACACAAACGGACCTAGACGGACCTCGACTTGACAGAGTCTTGACGCAGAACGCGGCATACTTGAACTACATTCACCAGGCGACCCGTTGGAAGTGCTGTTTCTTCGTCATTGTGCTTTTCATGATCACGTGGCCACTGTTGGTGCACTACAGGACCGACCTACTCTTCAGGGAGGCCTTGGAAGCCCACAAGAAAGAGGTCTTGGAGTGGAAGGTCAAGCACGAGGAATGCGTGGGCAATCTCCAGTCGACCAGCCAAAAGGCCCAGGCATGTCAATCTAACGTCCGCGAGGCGTTAGAAGAACAAGACAAGCTGAATCGTACGTTGGCTGGTGCGCAGGATGAATTGCGACAGTGCAAGCGTAAGCTTCAAACCGACAACAAAGCTGAGTACTCCAAGCGCATCCAAGATCAAGCAGCGCAGCTTGCGACATGTAAATCCGACTTCAGCAAGACCTCAGGCGAGAAGGAACAGTTGAATGGCACTCTGCGAGAAGTGCAGGGTGAACGAGGACAGTTGCAGGAAGCTCTCCGGACGTGCAAAGCTGAGGTGAAGGAGCAGCATGAAGCTAGCATGCAGTGCAATACTGCACTGGCTGGTTTAGAAGATGATATCGAAATTGCACGGAAAGTTGACATCAAGCTGTCAAGCAAGCTTGCAGATGCTATCATCTCACAAGATATCTTCAAAGCCAGTCATGGCTCCTGCCTTCGCGAGCTTGCGAAGCGTGCGGACGAGGCTGATGGAAAGGTCAAAGAATGGCGTGATATGCGTTCGCAAGACCTGAAGACTCTCTATCATGGATTGCACTGGATGTGGAAGTGCGAGACTCTAGACAAGCAGAACAAGCAGCTGATGGAGACAGTCCAGGCGCTGGAGGAGCAGGTGAAGAAGCTTGAGGCATCGCCGACCAAAGAAGCAATCCTCATGTTTCTGGCGACGGTCTTCGGCTCCAGTAAGACCCCGCACACAGCAAAGTCCCAGTGAATCCCCGGTTTGACCGCGAGAATGGGCGGCTAGTCAAGTGGTGAGGTCTCAATTTAAGCAAACCTTGTTTGCCTCAATGCTTGTGGTGATCATTGTACCCGAGCGCGTGGCTCACGAACGGTGATGCTTGATTTCGAAGACAACCCTGCGCTTTTTTGTACAGCAGCGTGGTGATGACAGCTTGCTCTTCGCTGGCAAAATGAAGTTGCCGTAGAGCCGTAGAGCACAATTTCAGACCTGTTGAGCTGCAACTGCTTGAATCCTGGCCCTCGCGCACCTGGAGAACTGTGTGCTCCCCACCTCAGGGTTGTACGCTAGACCCTCGTTGTCACGTCTTCATAAGTAAGCGGTGTCATTTACTACACGTGCTTGTCACGGTTCTCATCGGGGGTATACGGGCATCTGCATCCCCCACCTGATCAGGTGAGTACCTTTGTCGAACAGTGGGGCCCTCGGCCACAATTCTTTGAGCAGCGGTCATGTCCCTGACATTCCAGCCGTTCATGTATCGAAAGGCTTGTATGTTCCAACCTGCTTGCGCATTCATGGTTGTCCTGTTATATGGATGAGATTTGGCGCCCCTGCTTTGGATTTAACTCTGCGGTTCTGGGTGTATGCAAAGCTTCTAGCAACCTACAGCTACGTCAGCATAAGCACGTGCCAGCCGGAAGCTTCATTACCACCTTGACATCAACCTGTATGGTGTTCCACGCAGCATCACAGCAATGGACGATCTACGGAAAGCACCGGAACCGCTGCAAGGCTCAATAATCCCAAAGCCCTGAGACAACACTCGTAATCATAGACCATCAACTACTGTAAGTCTTAGACAATCAGTCGCGAAGTCTGTGGAACGGTTGAGGGGCACCAGCGTGCTCTCGCCCGCAATCGCAGTAACCTGCTTGATGACTGGAATCTGTCATCTTTGCTCGGATCTCAGGCAATGAAGTCAACACACTAAGTCCAGGCGGCGACTTTGTCGCAAACGGATTTCGTGGCGGTTCGGGCGTTGGAATCTATAATATGTGTTCCGGGTGCTGGGATTGGTACTTAGGCCCTCAGAGTTGGAGTTTGTACACCTACCTTGAGTTTCGGTGCAAGAGGGTTGTTTTAGTCATGAAGCGGTGGATGGAGTGTGCTGTTCTCCGGAGTCCTGGGGTCTCGCAGATGAGCGGGCGCCCTGGTGAGCCTCTACTGGTTGGCTGCAAACTCAACTTTTCAACTTTTGGGGTTCTTATAAGGTAGTCGATTCTGAAAGTTTCAACTTTGATTCCCTTGGGTTTTGGGCCAGTGAGTCTACAAGGGGGCCTGTACAGCAGGATTCCCGTCAGCGTTCAAGAAGAAGGTCTGTGTGAGACAGTTGCCGTGTCAGTAGACCGAAGCTCCGTGCAGGATGCCCTGGAAGATCTGACATCAGGAATCCCAAATTTTAAACCATAGTAATAATAACAATAGTAATAATGATAATAATAATAACAATAATGAATGCCTGGTCTTCTCACATAATCCGTTGAAGCGCGGTTCATCTTGCATGGAAATTGGAAGTACCGAGACTTGCCAAAGATATACAACGTGCGCCACCGTGCCGGACTTGAATCACCATCTTCCGTCTACTTGTAAGATTAGGGCACGCTGGGAATTGGTAGGTAGGCTATATGATCGCCGCAAGAAGTTACACTGCACGCAGCTGGTCTTACCTTTGGTTAGTGGTGAATGGAAGAATGGTAGCAATAGTAGTTATAATGGTACCCCATTCCTCCATTCCCTACTAACCCAAGGTAAGTAGTGTCCCTTGTTAAAACCGAATAGTGCGAAAAGCAGTACGCTTACTATGAAGGGGCTACTGGAAAGGCTAGGACAGCACCCAAAAGCTCAAAAGGCCTTGAAGCCAAAAGCCACAGAATCGCGAAGTCGTCTCGAAACCAAAGCTCCCAGGCCACGGCCCCAATCGGAAGCCGACGCCTCGGATGTTTGCTTAGGGTTTCGGAGTTTCAGACTCAGAGCTTGCAGGGCTTAGGGTTAATCTTACTATTGATATTGGAGGAGCTAAGGAGCCAGGGTGATAATCCCTATCAAAGTAGGAGATAAAGAGCCAAGGGGACCCCCTAAACTACTTACTGGTTGGTAATGGTCCAGGCTTTGGGAATTTTCAACTTAGCCGTTAGTTTTTGTTGTGTCTGCTGTTTGTGTGTGTGCGCGCTTCTGTTTCTGTTGTTGAGAGGGGGGGTTGGTTTTGGGGGAATTTACAGTCATAATTTCGGAGTTTGAAGTTTGCGAACTTTTGTGATGATAGGTTCAGGCGACTCTTCAGTCTTCATACTTTGCCTAGACGGGGTTCCCACAGGTTCTACAAAGCGGTTGATGCAGCATCGTCTTCAACACATATCATCATGTTCAGGCTATTTGTTCAGGTTTTACTAGGCAGGTCCTGTAGCGTTGAAAGTTTGGGATTCAGCACTCGGGTGTTGTCACTATGTTCAGCACGTATGCAGCGAGTTGCGATGAGATATACTTGTATGGTCTAAACAGTTCCAACACTGTCAATACTATTTTGGGGTTCTCTGTTATACTGAGCCTATTCCAGACAATAGAAAATAAGACCCTTATCGTGCACCGCAATCGTTTTAGGATTGGAGGTTGAAGCCTTGCGATTCAACTCCCAAACCGAATGTAAACTAGTCCACGACCCCGCGCAACCCGATTGCTGCCGTGTGGCGCCGAAGGGTGCTATATGCATAGGAACCGCTATGTCTTACTGATGATGATGATGGTGATCATCATGAAGGTCATCATGCTTAGCCTGTCAATGAACAGTCATCCTCGCAGCAGGAGTACCTTTCACGGTCAGTAGTTACCGCACACATAGGTAGTTGCCGGAGAATGTTCTTTCACAAAGTGCTGCGTTTCCAGGAAAGGAAAGAAGCGTGGCCGCAAGTGGATGCCAAAGAAGCCACAAGGAAAGTTGCCTCCTGAGCATGTCGCTGAAAAAAGTGCTTTGAACATGGCCAGTTGATGTTACAGCCAAACGCCCCAAAGTCCCAGACATATGCGTGCCGGATCCGGAGACTTGAAGTGAAGGGACGCGTAGATCATTACATGTTCGACCCGGCAGAAGGTTACAACCCTTCGCATTTCTATCCCACGTTTTACGCCCCTTGATCCTTTGAGTAGGAGCTAAACCTGCAACGCAAACTGTTGCAAGTCAATAACAGGCAGATGGGCTATTCTAGTATTTGTTTACAGCTTAAATGGAGAGCCTTAAACTACCCTAAACCATCCACTGTTGCAGTTCCCAAGTCCCAAAGCCAAGAAATCTAAAGCCTGTAGACGTTGCACCCTGAACTGTCAAGCTTCAACCCCCAAACCCGACGCGGGTACCATTGAAATCCCTGACTTCAGAGAATCTCGGCTCAATGTTCACTGTTTTACTCGTCCATCTGGCTTATCGGAGCTGGTAGACATGGAAAGATCCGACGACAATGACAGTGAGCAGAGCATGTCCACGGCAGCTGCGACATTACGGCACATGGAGCATGTGGTCATGACTTTGGATCACATGAACGAGCAGATGTCAGACTTTCGTGGCATCAAGGCTTCCTTAGCAAGGATTGAGAGAAGCCTCCGGACCATACCACCGGACTCCGGCAGTCGGTTTCGCAGACCTTCCGATGCTTCTCTGACGTCAATGACGTCTGCAGCCAGAGTGGAGGGCGAAGCGATGCAAACCCCGAAGCTGGACTCGGAACTACTTTCTTCCCTATACAGACTCTCAGCTGTTCAGTGGTACACTTTTTTTACTTTCAGGTTTCTGGGTTCCTGTTATGAAACAAGAAGCCTAAAAAAAGTATATACTTTTATCCCAGCGGGTTACCGAACAGCCTAGGACTTGAGGCGGCAAGGGCCGAGGAGCTGTGCAGCAGCAGACGAAGAGGCACGAAGAGGTCCACTCGAAGCCCCAAGGGGAGTCAAACAAAGCCTGCAGGTGAGGCAGTAGATATAGCCGGTCTACACCTAGCCAGCTCACGTGATTCTCGGCCTCCTGAATCGAAGAAGAGCGGGCGGAAGCTGTCCGGATCTGCTTCCTCAGCAGCCTTTGTTTCGGAACACGCCGGCGACGAAATTCTCCCAGAACGTGCTGCCAGCATGAAGCCAAGAGCTCTTACATCGCCACCTGCGATGTGTCGGAGGAAGTCGTTGGACGATCTTCGGCAGTTTCACGATGCGGTGATTGCAGCTCCCACCTGGGTATCCCCTCTCTCACGCAGGAATTCCATGGAGACAGCAACAGCACTACCGCTCCTGGGGTGGTTCCTGCTCTCGATGGTCGGCATACTCGACTTCTTCGACGGCAGGAAATGGCGAAACCTTGCGCGGTGCAGCCTCGGGGTGCAGATTGTGGGTGTTGTCGGTCTGGTAGCGGCCATGAGTACATCGACTGGTGATTTCGAGGACGTTGAGCCACTGATCACATCGGCGCTTTACTTCTTTGGTGTCGCTGCTGGGGTGCTTAGCCTGCGAGGGAACAACATCACGTGGCTGCTGGGTCCCTCCGAGTACTTGATGGATGACTACGCACTCGAGTCGGATTTTCTGGATGACTGGAGAAAGGTTTCCAAGGCACGACTTTTTCGAATCAGCGGCTTCTTCGTCCTTATGATCAGCTCGCGGGTGGGTGCTCTGTTTCTGACCGAGAGGGAAATCTTCGGGAAGTACAGGGAGTTCCACGTTCTCACAGTGGTCGCTTTCACTTCAATGGCGGCGTGCTACTGCACGGCTTGCTACTGCGTGCTGCATGTAGCTGCAGGTTTGGAGCTCGCCGTGGACAGCTTTGCATTGCGCTTCTTCAGCACGGGCGACATGGAGGCTGCAGTGATGAGTTGGAACATTGTGCAAGCCACACTGCGACAGACTTCGTGCAAACTAAGCAACTTCCTGGTCTTGCTGGCTTCGTCTTGCGTGGGAGCATTGATCATATTTGCATACCAGGTCGCATCCCTGACTCTCTCTGCCGACGGAGTGTCCATGGAGCACATCATCAAATGGCTAGGGTGGTTATACTCTCCCCTGATTTTGTTTCTCTATGTTCTGTCGAGTTCAGCAGCCGTCACGGAGAAGGTCGATCGCTTGGCACCCCTCGTGAACTCCTGGTCATTCCATGGTCGCGAGACCCTGGACGAATCGCGACAGTACGTGGTGTCATATATCCTGCATAGCCATGCAGGTTTCTTGGTCACAGTTGGGTAACATTTTAGTTTTACATTTCTATGGCTGTTTTAACCCAATCAGGAATAAAGATGCACATTTGTAATCCTATCCCAACCATGACTTAGGTTTCTATGCTCGCGGTATCCGCATTACATCCGCGAACGTGCAGAAGCTCGTCTACTACTTCGCAGCAGCGTCGTGCGGCCTCCTCACTAACCTGTGGCAGAGATAGCATCCGTCGTCCTAACGGCGGAAAGACACAAAAGAATCTCCTTCAGGATCAGGCTGGCGTGCGTCTTCTCCGACTTCTTCCATGAAAACTGGGTTGTGCTTTGGGATATGTCTCAATTTCCCTTATCTCCTTATAAAGGGAACCTATTCATAACTATTAATTTTCAAAGGGTTTAGAGCACAACCCAGTTTATGATGCTTGCCCTGGGCCTCAGGATGGGGTTCCGAGTCTTTTGCTACTGCTACAGGTCCATGAATTGGACATGAGATTCGAACCGTGCTTCAATCATGTACATAACATCCTGCTTCAAACCTGGACTGTAGTAGCTATCGTCCAGCCAGGCGGGAGTTTTGCCAGCTTTGTGCGGCTCAAAGCTGTGTCGGGGCTCCGGGTGGCGGCGGAGGGATGCTGCTGGGTGACTGCGGCTCACTTGACTTGAGGCCTTTGCCCAAGCCCCGAAACCATGCACAACCCTTCACTAAATCATAGGGACCCTTGGGGGGGGGTAGGGGGGAGGGGGCTAGGGGACTATACTTCCCTAAACAGGACTAATTTAGTCCGTATTTGATGTATTAAGGTTCCCTGCCCACCTAAGGGTCCTTATGATTGACTTAAAGCCAACTTCCAAGTGTTTAGAAGCACCGCCTTCTGCATGGATGGCGGGGTCCAGGACGTTCTCAAAAGAGAGCTTAACGTAGGAGCTGTTGCGGGGGCCGTAGCCCAACACCCTATTCTAACAATTAAGGCCCCTATAGCAACTGATTTTTTCTTGCACTACAGGCCGGAAATGCTCACGTGTTCTTTGCCAGTCGAAAGTCGACGATATTTTTTAAAGGCATTCAATCGTCCCCTTTGCTTCCGAGTGCCTACGGCCGAATGTCAAAAGCCCAAAGACTTGGTCATAGCTGGGTAACATGTTACATCTTTATGGGAATTTAAATCCGAAAAGGAAAAATATACATTTTTAATCCTATCCCAACTAATGAGAACTAGAAGACCCAGAGACTATGCACTACGAAGGCCTTTGAGCAGTTTTATGATTGCTCCGCTTGAGCCTAAGATCGGGTTGTTTGGATGCCTTATGCTGGTTGGCTGCAAATTCAACTTTTCAACTTTTGGGGTTCTTATAAGGTAGTCGATTCTGAAAGTTTCAACTTTTATTCCCTTGGGTTTTGGGCCAGTGAGTATGGGACCGACCAGTGTAGTGAGACTTACTTAACTACCCCCACTGTCCGAACGTAGTAGAATGTGGTGTCTCTACCGTAGAAAATACGGGTTTTGGTTCGGAGAAGTATCCCCCGTAGTCGGTACTTCCAAACCACCCTACACCATAAAACTCTAACCTAAACCCCAAAGCCTCAATCTCTAGACCCTTAGCTTTTGGGGTGCCATGTCGGTCCTCGGAAATGTGCGGGCCTCCGGCGTGGCGGCATTTCAACCTTTTCCGTCAAAGCCCTCAGGGCCCAAATCCAAAGGACCTACGAACTAATTGGGTACCTGTGTTTCGGGATTGTGTTTGGGAGTGATTCTATTGGGCGCTTGGACTTTGAGGGAAACAACTTGCCGGCACAGACCTAGCCAGGTGGGCGGTGAAAAAGCACTCATGCGGTCCAATGCTCTTGCTTTTCGGAGTATCAAGCTTGAATTGCAGTTTGCTTTCCTCAGACTTCCTTCCAAGGGCTCTATATAAGGGTTACCAGAATGGATACTCTAAGGGCTCTATGATGTAGGGCCTTAAGAATTACCTATGATATGCAATGTCCGGTGGCCGGGTTTAAAGGTCGGGGGGATAGCAAACCACGTCGCAATGTTCAGAAGCCTGTCTGACATGAGCGAGTGCACGTATGGCCACAACCCAAATAATGCATGTGACTATCTCGGATGAGACAGGGTTTCTCGACAAAGCAAGAAGGAAACAAGCATCTTACGACCTTATTTCTGAAGCCCTATGCCCTACGTCCTGAAATCCCTGAACCCTAAATCCTCGAACCACAAATCCCTAATCCTGCATCCCGAAAGCACAGGGCCTTACCGCAAGCCACAGACATATTCACTGCCTTTGTGGAATTAGGTCCCAAAAGAGCATCCTACGGTTGATGTGATAAATCCTGCATTACCCATAATAAGGAATATACCATAATTCTGATAGTTTAGGGTCCTTAAGGTACTGCGGGGTTTATATCATCCACCCTAGCATTGGTTTTGGGGGACCTGACTCCATAATGGCAGTATATGTGGACCCACTTCTTTGTCAGGTCAGACGTCTTTGGCATGGTTGAGGGGCACCAGTGTGCCTCGCATCGACATCGAAGACTCCAGAGCGCGGGTGGCAAAATCCGAGCTCCGTGATGTGATTCATATAGGGGATTACCAATACTGTTTAGGGAGTTCCTTGTGTTAAGTATAGTATGATATACCCCAGAACCCTGTTCTAATTATCAAGGTCCCTATATGTTTGGCGTGTAGAGCCTGCAGGAGGAAGGTGAATTGGTGTTCGGCACGGGGTGCAGCGGGCTGGACCAGGTCTGAAACTAAACGCCCCCCCAAACTTTGTCATAGTTGGAGAACATTTCGCATTTTTATGGGTACTTAAACCCCATATGGACTGAAAATGTACATTTTTATTCCTATCCCCTGAGCTAGCAAAGCCAAAGCTTAATTGGCTTAATTCAGGCATCTCACACTTGGCTGTCCCTCAACCCTAAGACCAGAGCCCAAGCCATGAAACTCAAGCAGGCAAGGTTGTCTACTAGCTACCTTAAACTACCAAACCCCACGTTTTTGTAGGTTCTTATTACAAACCCTAATCTGGAATGTATAGGGACCCTACAAAAAGGTAGGTTTTGGTAGGCTCAGGTATATATGCTATATACACCCCAAACCCCGCCGCGGACGCTTTGGACCAACCTTGAACCGGTATAGAACCTTAAGGTCCCCAAGGGCCTTTAGGGGGGTTCTATACGGGTTCCTTTAACGGGTACTATAAGGATGCTATAAGGCTTCTTAGTAAGGAAGGTCAGAAGTACTTTGTTTGGGGTTATAAGTAGTTATATGTGTAGTTACCCTAATTATAACCCTAGTTACTAAGTCCCATGATCCTTTTTTAAAGTAAGGTTTTGAGAGGACCGCGGCTGGATGCAACACAGAGGCGTCCTTCGCTAGGATCTCACAGGCTTACTTAAAGGATCATGGGACTTAGTAACTAGGGTTACAATTAGGGTAACTACACATATAACTACTTATAACCCCAATTAAGGTACTTATGACCTTACTTACTAAGTCCCCTGATCCTCCAAGTAGGGTTTAGGGTTTACTAGGTTGGATTTTGGGACATTGTTTGTTTTCCTTGTTTGGGTTTATAAGGGACCCTATATATAAATACTTTTCAGGGTGTTTAAAGGCCAACCCAGTTTAGACATCTTACTTCAGCTGGATTTCGGAACCAGCATTATCACGGAAGGGGGGGGTCATGGCTGAGAGTTATTTACTTCCAAGCATGAACCTGCTGGTTTAGTTCTTTAGCCTCAGTGACAGAACCCCTGAACGTAATGCAGGGGTCCTAGTCCTAATACTTACCAGCATTCGTTAGGCTCATCATTTCAACCGTATCATGTACCCCAAACCCTACTCTCAAGTCCCCTGTGTTAGCTCCCTAGAACCTGATTGCACCAGTCCTGTGTCGCCACGTGGGCTCAGTTTTCCAAGCTTTGGTTGTCAAAGGAAGTCGCGAGACTTCCCTACCCTGCGAGAAGCCCAGTTGGGTTTCACGCTCCCATACCCATACCGTAGACTCTTGGGTGCTTGTGGTTTCGTAGTAAGTAGTTGCAAAGTATTTCCCTTCAAGTGTTTAATGTGACAAGATGCTGAAGGTCCCGTGAGAGCTGTATGGGTGTTTGCTTCGTTGTACTGCAGGGTTTGGAGGTATCGACAAAGGTTCGGCGAGGCACTTGTGGTCCTGTGAAAGCTGCAGGGGTGTTTTCTTCGATAGCTGCAGGGTTTGGAGGTATCGACAAAGGTTCGGCGAGGCACTTGTGGCCGGCATTGCTCTCAACCCGTAGCGACCATGAAGGCCAACTAGGCTCCAACAGTTGGCTTCTCCGTTTTTTGTGCAAGAATCACACCGGACCACTTGCAAGAACACCAGGGGGATTCGAAGGTCGCGAGGGTCGCAACCACAAGCTTCGACCCCGAACCCCAAACAGACAAGCCCTGAATAAAACAGGGCGTGGTCCTGCTATACGTAGTCTCATGAAGATTTTTTTACTCTTGTTCATATAAAACCCCAGGAGAATAACAACAATAGTATGTTCACTACGGTTCTAAGGGGTGTATAGCCTGAGGGCCAAGAGTATCAATTCGGTATTGTAGGGATCCGAGGAATTAGAAGCAGCATCACCGTAGATGTTTACATCTTCCCTATTTCTTTCTAGTAAAACATATGCTACTGCTGATGGACAAAATCCTGCATGACCCTGAGGACTCTAAACTATGGGAACTACGGTATATTCCTTATAATGGGTAATGCAGGATTTATATCATCAACCATATCACCTTGTTCGAAGTATTCAGAACTTCGGTGGGCATCAAGACAGCCCCAAAAGCCTTATATGGTATGGTCTATGGGCCCCAAAAGCCTTAATATATGAGTCCTTCAATTGATGATATAAATCCTGCATTACCCATAACAAGGAATCTACCAGAAATTCCCATAGTTTAGGGTCCTTAAGGTGATGCAGGATTTATATCATCAACCGTTAGATGCCAGGGCTTGATATTCGGCATCGGGATCCCTGGCGGGGGGGGGGGGGGGGGGGGGGACTTTGGGATGCCCCAGTCTTCCCGAACCTTTTCCGCAGCAATACCCAAAGGGTCCGAGGTACTGTTATGGGGAATACTTCCCCAAATCGGAATAATTCCTAATATAGAAACCCTATTTATTCTGCTATTATTGGTTTTCTTGGACCCTTTGGGATACCTAGTACCCTTTTGCCTTTTCATTTGAGGGCTCCGTTTTAAGCTTAGAAGACAGGAACCGGCACCCTTATGATTCAGGTGGTACTACAAACAAAACTCACGTAAACCTCCTGCTGGTCTCAGGCGTAACCTTTTTGATGACTGGAAGCTTTTATCTTTGTCTGGATCTCAGTGCAGTGCCTGCAACCTTCAGAGCCCGAGCAACACTTGACACCGTAATGCAGCGTTGCGATCCGCAATGAGGGGTGTGCATTGGGTACTGCCCCCACTCAGTAACGTTTGGATAATATTCATAATATATTAGGACCTTAATCGTAGCCCTATTAGAGACTGCTACTGTATGGGGGCAGTACCCAAGGTGTGCAAAGGGTTGCCGCAGATGTTGAAGCTTTTACTTCAAGGATCATGTGACTTAGTAATTGGGGTTATAAACAAGGCAACTATACTCATAATCACTTCTAACCCCATTTAAAGTACTTATAACCTTAAACTTACCAAGTCCCATGACCCTCCAAGTACGGAGCTGTGGAGTTGGGGCAGCTTGGGGCTGGGTGCTGACGGTGGAATTATGTTTTAGCGAACATTAGGGGTGCCTTATTTTGGGGTACTTATAACAAGGACCCTACTATTTAGGGTACTGTAATTCTCTTTTCGGTTTGGACTTTGTGTCGTGGGAGTTTGGCTGTTTGGAGACAATCAGATAGCTCGAGCTTGCTGGGAGCTTGGAGTCATCAGAAGCCATGTCCAGCCTAAGTGGCCTAGTAATTACCTATATATATATATATATATATATGTATATATATATATATACACACACACTACTTTGAGGGTTCCTTGTGATATATAGTAGAATGGGGCCCCAAACCCCTATTCTAAGTATTGAGGCCCCTATAGTCCCTATAGTACGCCCCGCATGTGTGTTGCGTATCTAGAACCTGGAATGCTGTCAGGGCTGAGCACGGGGCTTCCCTGCGTAACACACCCCTCTTGGTAACCTCAAGGCTGGACGGTTTAGGTTGCATGATTCCGAAGTGCTGATTGAGCCTGACGACTGATGATGTGATTATGGCCGTGGAATTCAATGGGTTGCCCGGCGTCTTGAAACCCCAGGGAAGAGGCCTTAACAACCTGAAGCCCAGTAATCTCGGATCCAGTGTTTCAGATCTTTGAAAAGGAAGCACATACCAACCTTAAAAGAAAACCCAGCCCAAAACCCCACCACTGAGCACCACTGTATCCCTATGTGTGGTGTTGCTTCTGTGCCTATGTTTGGGCGGGGGGGGCAAGAAACTCCTAGACCCTATAAACCTCCTACACTAAACCCCACACCCTGACCCTATTCGTTGTGCTGACTTATTGGCTGTAAACTCAACTTTTCAACTTTTGGGGTTCTTATAAGGTAGTCGTTTCTGAAAGTTTCAACTTTTATTCCCTCGGGTTTTGGGCCAGTGAGGGATTACCCCTACCCCTCCTAACCATCCTCCCCCTCCTACCCCCTACTACCCCTCCTATCCGTTCCTTCCCTGCTGCCCTTAAACCCTGACCTTATCTGTGGCGTTGTGTATGTGCGTTGGGCCAGTGAGGGTGTTGTGTATCATAAACCCTCAACCCCTAACCCTAAACCCCCAAACCCTAGACCCCCTAAACCCCTAGTCCGTTGTAGGGATCCTTGCGTGCATCTCGCCCGGATCGTCCGCAGCGACTGCGTGCATAAACCCCTAAACCCTAAACCCTAAAAGCCCCTAAAAAACCCTAAACCCCTAAACCCTAAACTCCTAAACTCCTAAACCCCTAAATCCCTAAACCCTAAACTCCTAAACCCTAAACCCCTAAACCCCTAAACCCCTACACCCTAAACTCCTAAACCCCTAAACCCGCGTATGTGCGCCTTTGATTGTGGGGCGCGCCCGAGTTTCGGCTCCCAGGCCGCGGCCCGAATCAGAAGCCGAAGCCTCGGACATCTGCACAAAAAAAGACGGGGCAATAATCATAAGACTAGGCTTCCTTTAAGGGGCGTCTATAAGGGTTACTATAAGGGAACTATATTCTAGGGGCCTTAATAATTTACCTACACTATTTTGAGGTTACCTTTTTATAAGTAGTGTAGAATAGGCCCCAAAACCCTATTCTTTTTGTTAAGGCCCCCACATGAGGGCTTCTCAGTTAGGGTTTGGGGGTTGAGAGTTTAGGGTTGGGGAATTAGGGTTAGGGGTTAAGGGCTAAGGGTTTAGAGTTTAGGGATTAGGCTTTAGGGTTTAAGGCTTTCGTTCGTTATTCAATATTTTGCAAAGGTCTTTGTGGCTTCGGGAAGGGAGGACTTGAGTTCCGCTTTGTGTTTAACGTAGGAGCCTAAATGATTACATCCTACTTTGGGGGGTTCCCTGTTATACTTATAGTATCATGTACCCCGGGCTTCCCTGCTATACTTATTGTATCATGTACCCCAACACTCCGTTCTGACTATTAAGGCTCGTACACTATGGCCGAAAACTGAGCTCATCTCTCTGAAGCCTGGAACCGAAAGCGTAAACCCTGCGATGCGCGCCTCAACCCTAATCCGCTTGGCTTTAGCACCCAAGCACCCCAAAGGCTTCATGTACATAGGCGCCTCGATAAGTCTTAATACTCATGGTTCAGTGAGTGCCCATGAAAAAGATAAGGGTGATGATTATGATGGAGATATTACTAGGCTACTCCAGTCAATTGATATTCACCTTTGGGACGAGTATTTGTTGTAGCAGCAGTAGCATTCATCTTTCGATTAGGAGTAATTGCAACAGTGGCAGTGGCAGCAACAGCCACTGTCGCGGATGTACCTGGTTGCACAGTAGAAGCCCAAAAGTTGGAAATCCAATAGCCTCAATCCATAAAAGCAATGTCTGGGGAATCCCAGCACTATTTGTCCTTAATCAGGTTTCCAACTTTCTGGGGTTTACTGTAGCCTGAATAGTCCCTCACAAAGTGCTATGCTTTCAGGAAGGGAAGGATGGGTGGCCGCAAGTGGATGCCAAAGAAGCCACAAGCAAAGCAGGAGCCTGAGCATATCGATCCCCATGGGTTCAGAGGACCCAGTAATTATGTATTCGGTTTCAGGATAGTAACTATGTAGGTTAGTCTTTTGGAAAGTATATGGTTATTGGGTACTTGGACCCAAGGGGGGGGTTCTCAGAGTGATTCGATCCACGCTGAACATTTTCAGTTCATGTCACAACCCCGATTGCTTGGGTACCGCCCCCACTCAGTAACAGTTGGATAATAGTCTTAATATAGAGATATAAGGATCTTACTAGTAGCCCTATGATAGACTGTTACTGTATGGGGGCCGTACCGATTGCTAGAGTTGTCCGACATCTGCCCGCATGGACTCGGAAGGAAGTGTATGTGGGTACACTAAATGATAGGTGCCGTATTATAAGACCCTAGCTTCAACAACCACCCATGTAGGTCATTACATGTTTGATCCGACAGAAGTTGTAATTCCCGCTTACTACGGCCCGTGATCCTCTCAGTAGGAGAGACCCTGCGGGGAAAGCTTAGCATGGTACCTGCCTGAAAGCCCATCTACAGCCCCTAAACCCTAAACCCTAAACCCTAAACCCTAAACCCTAAACCCTAAACCCTAAACCCTAAACCCTGCCTACTTGGCAAGTCTCCTTTCACTGCGGCCTTGAGAACCCCCGACTTCAGAGAATTTCGGCTCAGGGCTCGCCGTTTTACTTGTAGGGTTTAGGGTTTAGGGTTTAGGGTTTAGGGTTTAGGGTTTAGGGTTTAGGGTTTAGGGTTTAGGGTTTAGGGTTTAGGGTTTAGGGTTTAGGGTTTAGGGTTTAGGGTTTAGGGTCCATCTGGCTTGTAGGAGCTGGTAGACATGGAAAGATCCGACGACAATGACAGTGAGCAGAGCATGTCCACGGCTGCGGCGACATTACGGCACATGGAGCATGTGGTCATGACTTTGGATCACATGAACGAGCAGATGTCAGATTTTCGTGGCATCAAAACTTCCTTAGCAAGGATTGAAAGGAGCCTCCGTACCATACCACCGGAGTCCGGCGGTGGGTCTCGCAGACCTTCGGATGGTTCCGTGACGTCAAAGATGTCTGCAGCCAGAGTGGACGGCGAAGCGATGCAAACACCAAAGCCGGACTCGGAACAACTTTCTTCCATATACAGACTTGAAGAGCTTCGGGCCGAGGAGCTATGCAGCAGCAGCAGCAGACGACGACAAGGCGCGAAGCGGTCCACTCGAAGCCCCAAGGGGAGTCCAAGAAAGCCTGCAGGTGAGGCAAGAGATATGCTCAACCTACACCAAGCCGGCTCACATGATTCTCGGCCTCCTGAATCGAAGAAGAGCGCGCGAAAGATGTCCAGATCTGCTTCCGCTTCAGCGGTTGTTCCGGACCATACCGTTGACGAAATCGTCCCACAACCTCCTGTGAGCACGAAGCCACGGGCACCTACATCGCCACCTGCGATGTGTCGGAGGAAGTCTTTGGACGATCTTCGGCAGTTTCACGATGCAGTGATCGCGGCCCCCACCTGGGTAACCCCGGTCTCACACAGGAATTCCATGGAGACCGCAACAGCACTACCTCTTCTGGGGTGGTTCCTGCTCTCGATGATCGGCATACTCGACTTCTTCGACAGCAGGAAATGGCGAAACCTTGCACGCTGCAGCCTCGGGGTGCAGATTGTAGGTGTCATCGGTCTGATAGCGGCCATGAGTACCTGGACTCTTTGTCATAGTTGGATAACATTTTACATGTTTATGTTTTATGGGTATTTAAACCCAATAAGGAATAAAAATGTACATGTTTAATCCTATCCCAACCATGAGCTAGGACTGGTGATCTCGAGGACCTTGAGCCTCTGATCACAACGGCGCTTCACTTCTTTGGTGTCGCCGCCGGGGTGCTGAGCCTGCGGAGGAATAAGATCACATGCCTCCTGGGCCCCTCCGAGTACTTGATGGATGACTACGCACTCGAGTCGGATTTTCTGGATGACTGGAGAAAGGCTTCCAAGGCACGGCTTGTGCAGATTAGCGGCTTCTTCGTACTTATGATCAGTTCGCGCATTGCCGCTCTGTTTCTGACGGAGAGGGAAATTTTCGGCAAGTACAAGGAGATCTTTGGCTTCGATGTTCTCACAGTGGTGGCCTTTACTTCCATGGCGTCGTGCTACTGCACGGCTTGCTACTGCGTGCTGCATGTAACTGCAGGTTTGGAGCTCGCAGTGGACAGCTTTGCATTGCGCTTCTTCAGCACGGGCGACATGGAGGCTGCAGTGATGAGTTGGAACATTGTGCAAGCCACACTGCGCCAGACTTCGTGCAAACTAAGCGACTTCCTGGTCTTGCTGGCTTCGTCCTGCATGGGGGCATTAATCATATTTGCATACCAGGTCGCATCCCTGGCTCTCTCTGGGGAAAGGGTGTCCGTGGAGAACATCATCAAGTGGCTAGGGTGGTTGTACTCTCCCGTGATTCTGTTTCTCTATGTTCTGTCGACTTCAGCAGCCGTAACGGAGAAGGTCGATCGCTTGGCACCCCTCGTGAACTCCTGGTCATTCGATGGTCGGGAGACACTGGACGCATCGCGGCAGTACGTGGTTTCATACATCTTGCATAGCCATGCCGGCTTCTATGTTCGAGGTATCCGCATTACATCCGCGAATGTGCAGAAGCTCGTCTACTACTTCGCAGCAGGGTCGTTCGGCCTCCTCGCGAACTTGTGGCAGAGATAGCATCAGTCGCCCTAACGGCGTGAAAACAATCTCTGTCATCTGTGCGCATGGCTTCTCCGACTTCTCCCTTTTATGATGCTTGCCCTGAGGTTAGGGGTTAGGTTCCGAGTCTTTTGCTAGTGTTACAGGTCCATGAACTGGACACGAGATGCGAACCATACGTGGCTTAAGCATGTACAGAGACTCTTGTCTCAACCCTGGACTAACGTCCAATCAGACGAGAATTTTCGCCAGCTTCGTGCGGCTCAATGATAGTCCGGGGCTTCCACCGGCTTACCGCGATTGCGGTGTCGGCGGAGCGGGGTGCTTGCAGGTAACTGGGTCATGCCTGTCTTTCATGTTTCAGTCTTTCCTCAAGATAGGATTTAGGGTGGTTGGGCTGTCTACATCAACTCCCTGGCAATATTACCCGAGCCAAGTGCACAGCTGGCAAACCGGGCTTCTGCCTAGCTGTGCTTCATGAGACAGTGCAGGGGCCAAGTTTTGAAAAAAATACCGAAAGTATTCCTTGGGGTTCCTTATTATGGCTGTATCGGAATATACCCTCAATATCCTATTCGGTTTATCATTGCCCCTACATTGCAGTAACTGCTGGGCGTGTGTCACCTACAGTCATTCTCGAGGCTCCGTACTGCGAAGCACAAGGGGCCTTCGCTGGGCCCAAAAGCATGCACAGAGGGCACAATACCCAGAGGCCCCAAAGTAGTTGCTTTTTGGGATTACCCTATAGGATTCTATATACGAACCCCAAAAAGGAACTACTTTGGGGCCTCAGGGTACACCTTAAATGCCGGAATATGCCTTGAGTTTTAGGGTCTGAATTGAGGGTTTGAAGTCTATTCCCTACCTAAGGGGATAAACTCTAAGGGCCGAATCTTGGGTTTAAAGCATACTCCTCCCGTTATTCCCATAGTGTAGGGTTCTTAAGGTAATCCAGGATTTATATCAGCAACAGTATTCCCGTTGCACTTAGCATAATGTGCCCCAAAACCCTGTTCCAATGATCAGGGCCCCTAGCTTGGAAGAACCCCCAGATGGTGGGTCCTCCTGCTGCATGGATGGTTGGGCCTGGGATGTCCAAAAGAAAGCTTATGACTCTGGGTTCTTGTTAAAGAGTTTATTTATATTAAGTTCCCATAGCAAGGCTCTTGTTAAGGCATTTAAACTAAGTTACCATAAAAACGACACCATGTTACTATTTACTATAGATCCCAAGTATGGTATATAACTTAAGGTCTTAACTCCTGAGCAACAACCCAGCAAATGATTCTTGCTTCGAGGACAGGGCAGTGAGCTTGAAATGCTCACGTGTGCTAGGATGCCCAGTAGTACCCTTATTCCCTTTTTGTAGTCCTAGGTTCCTTATAAAGTTACCCAATACCAAAAAGAGAGGCCTTTTTATTCTTAGGTTACTGGGTATCCTAGTGCGTGATTTCCAATCCATGTGAGCGATGCGAAAGGGCACTGCCTAAGAGCGCGGAAGCCGAAACCCCACCCAAACATACTGTGACGGAGCTTACAGACAGGAGACATGTTGGCCTCCACACCTGCCTGGCTACCATTCTCTAGACCACAAAGCCCCTAACCCGGAATCTCTTTAACCCGAAACCCTAACTGCCATTTGGGAGTTTCCGACAATAGGGGATCCAAATCTGATACTTTATAGCAGGATCCTTGTTACAAGGACCCCAAAATCAGGTACCCCAAGTGTTTGGAAACTCTCATATGACAAAATCTGGGCCCCTTTTAAGCCCAAAGGCTCGGTGCACGGCTACAGTCTCCTTAGGAATTATTTTTTGTTCATATAAAACCCAAGAGAAGTTTAATCATAGTGCTTTTATTATGGTTCTAAGGGGGTATAGACGGGCGTGCAGCGTACTGAACCCGGCGCCTGCCTGCTTGCAGGCATTATTTCAACCTTGTCCTCAGATTTTCGCGGGGGGGTTTCCGAAGGCTAGGGGTACCTTTGAAAGGGTTCTATAAGGTTTCCTTAAACGGATCTAGAAGGGTTTGACAGAGGGTTTCCGAAAAGTAGGGGTACATTATCTTGGGGTCCTTTTGATCAGGACCCTACTATTTAGGGTACTGTGTTAGGGTCCCCTATCTACCTATTTTCGGAACCCCCCCAAAATGAGAACTGCGATGTGGGCAGAGACCTGCGATGCAGGCACAGACCTAGCCAGGTGAGCGGTCAAAAGCAGTGAAGGTGAGGAGTATCAGGTTCTCATTGGCTGTAAACTCAACTTTTAGACTTTTGGGGTTCTTATAAGGTACTCGATTCTGAAAGTTTCAACTTTTACTCCCTTGGGTTTTGGGCCAGTGAGGGTTTGCAGCTTGCTTCCGGGACAGCTTTCAAAGGTGCGGGGAGATCCGGGCTGCCCTGATCACCTCGTATAGCATACTTGGAGGGTCGGGGGACTTAGTAACTGGTTATTTTTGGGACTTCTAAGTACCATAACCCCAACTAGGGTCCCTTTTAGGGTACTTATAAGTCTACTTACTACCTACTTACTAAGTCCCCCGACCCTCCAAGTAGAGACTCGTCCGACTTGTTCCCCAATAACTATGGTCTCCTTAGGAATTGTTATTGATTTTTGTTCATATAAAACCCAAGAGAATATTGAAAATGATATTTGTATTGGGGTTCTCCTAGAGGGTCCAGAGATGAGAGTTTCCGAAAACTGGGGTACCTTATTATGGTTCTAAGGGGGTATAGATAAAGCATGCGACAGCCTGGTGCACCTGAGACAGGTCTGTCGAAGAAGCAACATGCATCCCGCTTGCATCCCCTAGACCGCAAGCCCTAATAATTCCCTAATTAACCTAAACCCTAATTCCCTAAACCCCCTAAACTCCCTATATAAACCCAAACGCCCAACCCTTATAACTAATTCGCAAAGTCCGATAATAGAGGTCGGAAAGACAGAAATAGTGTCCGTGGATAGCTGCGCGATAACTATACTAAAACCGCCACCCCCTCAAGCCTAAAATTCGTTTGGCTTAGCATTCAAGGCTCAGGGTTCAGCCCAAGCAAAACTAAACCCTAAAGCCCCTAACCCTAAAATCAAGCCTACATGAGCCTGGGCCCAGGGAGGCGTCGAAGCTGCTCCAGGAGGAGCAGCCGGCGCCAGTGGTGGAGCCAGTCCCTGGCATGCACCCGGAGTACTTTCATAAGGGGGGGCAGGGGGGGGGGGGCGTAATGCACACAACAAGGACCTAATAAAGAAGGCCATTTAAGGAGGTATAGTACTAAATAATGCGCATAACAAGGACCAAACAAATAAGGCCCAAAAAAGGAGGTTTAGTAATAAATACTGCGCATAATAAGGACCTAGTAAATACGGCCTGCTTAAGGAAGTTTTGTCCCCTTCCCCCCTCCCCCTACCCCCCCGTAAGGGTCCCTATGGACTTCGAGGGCTGGGGTAAGCCAGGGTTGATAATATGGGAGTTTCCGAAAATAGAGGACCCTGATATGGTACCCTAAATAGTAGGATCCTACCCCTAATTTTCGGAAACTCCCGTATGAATCCTGCATCACCCAGAATAAGGACAGGTTTTTTTAATTTAGGGGTTTAGGGTTTAGGAATTAGGATAGGGTTTAGGGTTTAGCATTACCCAGAATAAGGAAAATACCATTATTCCCATAGTCTAGAGTCCTTAATGTGATGCAGGATTTATGTCATCAACGGTAGTAGTTAGAGGCTTTAGGGTTTGGGGTTTCGGGTTAGGGCCTTAAGGAAGTATAGTCATAAAAGGGGTTACTGTAGGGCCTTTAGAGTTGAAGGTTTACTGTTTAGGGGTTACTTGGAGGGTCGGGGGACTTAGTAAGGGCTCTTTTAGAGGGGGTTCTAAGGGTTCCTTTGAAGGGCTTTATAAGGGTAGTATAGGGCTGGGCTTTATAAGGGTAGTATAGGGTTTAGGGTTCAGGGACTTAGTAAGTAGGTAGTAAGTAAGTAGACTTATAAGTACCCTAAAAGGGACCCTAATTGGGGTTATGGTACTTATAAGTCCCTAAAATAACCAGTTACTAAGTCCCCCGACCCTCCAAGTATAGTTTAGAAGGAGCCCCCACCCTGTAATAGTGACTATGAGGCTATAAGGATTATATTAGGGCATAAATTATTTTCCTATTATACTCCTATTATACCACTATTACAGGGTGGGGGCCCTTTTAAGTTATGGTGAGAAATCGGTCGATCTGGGTCTCAGAGGGGTTCTGCAAGGCTTGATAGGGTTGTAAAGTCGGTTATAGGTTGGGTTATGATTAGGATAGCTCCAACTAGGGGTACTTTTAACCCAAATATGACCTGTCTACTTACCAAGCCCCCACCCAGATCCTTTGTGTAGATGCAGGTAGGGGTTGCAAAGCTTGTTGGGGTGTCGAGGCATGGTAGGAATTTGGGGTTATGATGTTTGTGTTCTATCGTTCTGAGTCTGTCTAGGATGGTTGAAGGTTTTGTTTTCGAGGGTTGGCGCTTGAGGGTGGCAGGTGAAAAAAGGCCGCGGAACTTCAGGCTTCGATGATTTCGTGTTGGGCGTGGTACTGGTTTTGGACCTAGTAGTAGAGTAGGGAACCTTTAACCTTGTTTTGGGTAGAAAAGTCCCTATATGACCCCTATAACCAAAAAGGGTAACCTTCAGTTTCCCATGATATCCGACAAGTAGTTGGAGGATGTTGGCGTCGATGCATGTGGGTTGTTTTGATTCTTCAACCACGCAGGGTTGGAGGCCATCCTGACTCACTTGTTCCTTTTGGTGTTGATCTCTCGTGTGAAACGGAAATACGAAGCTGATACCACCCACACCAGAGACCCTTTACGGAATGTTCAGGGCTCGATTCGACTGTTGCTTGCTTGTTCTTACTGGTTTTGCATCTAGGGATCACGGTGTTCAACCCAGTCCGCGCAAGCCCGAGTTCACAAACCCCTCAGTCACATCCCAAACCCTGAGCTCAAAACCCTGTGTTGGAAGAGAAGCTTCCGCGGACGCACCTAAGACTC